CCCCAAAACCCCAAAACCCCAAAACCCCAAAACCCCAAAACCCCATTTTGATGTGGGGATTAAATTTTACTAGCATTAAGAAAATCCTCCAAGATGCCAGTTTTTGATGCTATTTTCAAAGAATATATTAAAAATTATTGTCTAACCGCCTGTGACTTCAGGCGATTCCTCCAGCTGTATGCTTTTCACCTTATGAAGTTCCTTCAAAAGAAGATCATTTAAGTCTTCAAAGAGGCCACTCTCAAGTAAGGATAGGTGCCTTTTCTGCAGGTAGTCTAAGCCTTTCTTCCTGATGATCCTGGGGGAAAAGGAGTACTCCTTCTTATGCTCAGCATAAATTCTAGTCATTCTTCTAGCTGCATATGGGCCAAAATAGCCCTTATCATGATAATTAGCAGGCTTTTTCTTAAGGAAATACTTGAAGATTCTCTTGGTTGTCCATATCTCCTTCACTTCAAGGTCTCCTAAATTAGTTAGTTTCGGAAGGAAACTTACGGTTTCGTTTCAAATTCTCAGCTATATCTCCTGGCGAAATATCTGTTGTCTTGGATATACCCTGTACGTAGTTGTCAAATTCATTAATAGCAGCCTGCTCTTGCTTGGTCATGAATATTTCGAGCACGTCTATTAGGATAATGGAATCAATGAAGTTGAACAAGAACTGATTCATCCTGTTCCATAGCTGCTTTCAAAACTGCTGCTCCTTCAGGAACTCCTGAATTTCAGCAGGAAGTTCCTGCTGATCTTGACTCTGAGAGCTGCTGAAGTTATAATGCTCCAGAATCTCCTGGGCAGCATCATTGCCACAGAAGGAAGTCAGTTTTAGATCATTGAGCACTCTTAGAAAGTTTGGGTAGGAGATAAAGCCATTGCTAGATAATCCTTCTGTAATTGCGAGGATCTTCCTCCTCGTAATTCCAGAAGCAAGGTCTTGAGAACGCCTGCTTAGTAAGCTCCTCTTGCGTTCAAGCTTTATTCTTTGAGGAATCTATAGGAAAGTTAAGACATTTCAATGTTTCCACTAAAGATAGCAAATATTTCAGAGGATTTAGCATAGATTGCTCTAAATTTGATTTTCGATAGTATTAACAAAAGACCACCTAGACTCATCATCAAAATGTTTAAATTCTTGGATCTCAGATACATTATTTCATAAAACGTTTTGTATTCGAAATATAAAGCAACGAACCTTTGTATTGCACAACTCAAGCCTAATTTGCATCTTCTTCTTAGACTGAGATCTCTGGAGATCTCTCATTTCCATCAGCGAAGAGCTGCACCACTTCTTATTATTCAAAGACTTCTCAATTTTCTTATAATTCTTCTGTACCTTACTTCAAAAAATTATATTGCATGCTGTTCTTATAATCATTTGGTGGATGAGAAGCCTTCAAGCTTAGTCTAGTAAGCTCTTCTAGCTTCCTAAATGCCTTTGGTTTAGTGGGATCCTTCTTTCCCTAAAACTTAGGTACATTAACCCTACCTTATTTCTACATGTTTTCAGTAGATATGGCTGTAGATTGAAATCTGCCACCATTCCTTGGTCTCCAGACTGAACAAAGTTGACCCGATTATCCATGGAATACTTTTGTAAGTCTAGAATGATCATGAAAGCATACCTTTTGTATTATTCTCATAGAAGCAGTCATCTGAGGTTCCAAAGAAGGCACTCTTATTCGCAGACTTGAATTTAATCCAGTTCTCATATTGCTGCTTCATGTTAATTCTTCTGCTACTTCTATTACTCGTTGAGAGAATATTCTTGACCCGGATAGCATCTTTAGTGGCTTTTGCCCTTGCTTTAGCCACTGGTCGGTACTTTATTTTCCTAGAATAGTTCTTTAACCTTGATTTTAGCCTTGATTTCTCCCTTTTCCTTGACAAACTGCTCTGAGCAGTCATTTTAGATTCAGCATTACTACTCTCAAGAAGCTAGAAATTAGAGATGAGGGTTACATTAATATTCATGGAATGCTTATCATATTTTATATATTTCGATTCAGGGCTTAACTTCTCCTGCTGTTCATCAAAATAAGTACTCATACGATGAGGCTTAACAAAGCTCTGAAATGTTATAGACTGGTTATTCGATTTGGACTTCCTTAACTTAGTTTCAACTTTCGCATCCTTGCTAGAAATGGTAATACCGAAGCTATAATTTCCTTTAGAGTCTTGACTAAGCCGGCTTTCATGCTTGTTCTCTAAACCGAGAGTTAAGACACTTAATAGAAGCTGTGAGAATACCTTCCTCAGGATTTTCACCGTAATGATTGATAGCATCCTTCTTCTCATCAAAATTTGACTGAAAATTCTCATCATCAATGTTGCTAGTTGGGACTAGATATAAATAATTATTAAGATTACTATTTTCCAAGGCTGTTGTCTCTTTATGGAAAGGTGCCTTGTATTCCTCCTCCCCGATCTTCAACAGAGAGAGATGATTCTTATTGATATCGCTCTTGTGCTCCTCAGCGCTTTTATCTAAAGAGCCAGGGCCAGTATACAATTCTAACGGTCCTTCATGAGACTCAAAATCAACTATTAAGATAATTCAAAACCAAACGAAATCATTTAAAAGATAGCCAAAACAAGAACGCGCTCAAAAAATTTAGGCATTAAGAACTTCTCTCAAGTTCAAGAAAATTCCAATAATGGCTAATAGCTTGTGATTGAGGATTTACCTTCGCTTATAACTCCTCCGGGATACTCATATCACTCTCTTCCTCGCTTCTCAGAGCAGAGATGCTCCGATCTCCTTGAACGAGGTTCTTATCCCCAGTTTCTTTAAACTTAACATTGTTATTTAAGAGTAATTCTTGATCAATATCCTCACTTCGGTCGCTAAGCTCGTCTGGGATGCTCATTTCTATCAGAAATAAAATAAATTTTATTATCGTGAAACGTAGATTACATTATAATTGGGGTTTTGGGGTTTTGGGGTTTTGGGGTTTTGGGG